AGTATATGGACCTCCACAGGCTTCTTTATGTTAATTTTTGCCGTTCTTTGTTACAGAAAAACCTGGTCAATGTCCTCCTGCTATCGCAATTGCATGTTTGAAACCACAGAGAGATGAATGCAGAGTGGATGCTCAATGTCCACGTAAACAGAAATGTTGTTATAAACCCTGCCGTCTCAGTTGTGTAGATCCAATATAAAGGTAACTGATTCTGAGTCTGTGAAAGTCCAAGTAGGAAGAAATGCTACATGCCAGATGCACACTCTGTAGATTGTTAAAGAAGGCTTCACTGGAGTTAACGGAGAAATCCCATCACCCTGGTTGAGAGCAGAATGGCTTAACTGTACACATTTTAGGAAATGATGCACCTGATACTTTGGCTATATTCACAGCTACCCCTTAAGCACAAAAAGTGGCAAAGCCTATGTGATGCCAAAGCAGGTATAATTTGTTAAATAGGAAAGCTGCTAAATGATCCGTTCTCCAAGCACAAATATATATTCACTAAAAAATAATTCCAAAGTCAACAAAAGTAAAAGAATTATGTTAACTCTGAAGACAATAGCTGCAATCTGATTGGTATGCACTACAGTTTGTGTAACTTGCTGCGGCTAATTGCAACTAAATGATGAGGTGCCAGGGTGCATCTTAGTTACATCATCAGGTGCATGACTGGACACACAATGCAGAGGTTCATTGACACATGGTCGATTAGCTGTAGCACGTTATACAAACATAACACACATAAATAGCATTTTGGCTTATATTTTCTTGCAATAACATTTTCTTTTAACACACGAAGCAGAAACCAGTGATATGCCACTGGCTTTCAGCAGCAAGTCATATCATTTGTGCTAAAATTTTGCATGTATTTTTTTCTGGAAGTCTAAAGGGCCAGAAAGAACACTTGAGAGGTGCATATAGCTGGATCTCATGGGTGCACCTAGCCGACAGGCTGGACTTTGTCCCCTTCCTCCTAGAATGTGCAAGAGAAGAGTAGGTTAAGCTACTTGGTTGAAGACTGATTCTTTTCTTTTCTTTTCTTCAAGATAAACTAACGTCTGGATGAGCACCGGAACTAATTGTGCTTTTAAAAAGATGTCACCATCTCTCTGCTGGCTTGGCAAGATATTCTGGCATAATACTAACATTTCTGCATCCAAATATTCTCTCTATCCTATGCGCATACACCAATTTCCCCCCTCAAACCTGAGCTCAAAACTCAGTGGAAAACAGCTCATTGTCTCCTTTGCTAGCTTGGCATACAATGCAGGCATAAATACAATTAAACTTTGTTTCTACAACTGCATTTCAGTTTTGGTTACTATCCTATATTTTTAATTACTTTATTATTGAGATAACAGAAATATTAGAGTTACAGAACATAGATACGGCCAGTTCAACTACACTTCATAGTTCAGTCATGCCGAAGTTAAAAATGTACTTGAACCCAGTAACATCAATCAAATGAGATCATTTCGAGAACTAGGAATCCTAGAAATTAAAGTTAGCTCACCTGTTGCTTAGAAAACTCGTCATGAAGTGACAATAGGTCCACATGTACTGATACAGTTTTGTTAATTCCCAGTTATGCTTTCATTTCTCAAGAATTTGGAACAAATGTATGTCATATAATCTGTTTCTCATTCAGAGTATAATGACAAGGAGAGCCTGTGTTTAGGAAATATAGCATTACCTCCAACAGGCAGATCTCTACTATTATACTGTCATTATATTGAAGTGACCCCCTCAGGTGGTTGATGTTTGAGTGATAACAAGGGATTGATTGATTGATTGATTGATTGATTGATTGATTGATTGATTGATTGATTGATTGATTGAATGAATGAATGAATGAATGAATGAATGGATTTTAGATACCACCCTATTAATGCAAGCACTACTCTGGGTGGTGCACAGGTTGAAACTAAGCCCCACAAAGTCCCACAGATCATAGAATGATATCATAGTCTAACAGTGTAGATCTAAAATTCATCTAAAATGAGAAAAAAATAACATTAACAGCATCTGTTAGGATCAATTGTTGAAAGCAACTTTGACTAATTCTGTTTTCACCAATTTCCTGAACTTAAAGAATGAAGGAGACAGGTATACTGTATCTCAGTTGGTAACTTATTCCAAAGACTGGGGGCCACCACTGAAAATTTCCTCGACACTGCTTTTGTTACCTCCCTCAGTGTGGTCACTTTTAGCAACATGGACTGAGAGGAGCAAGTGAAATGAGTAGCTGATGTCTAAGAGATATTCTGAGAAGTATAGAGGTCCTAAACCACTAAGGGCTTTCTAGGTCTTAACCAGCACCTTGAATTGAGTATGAATGAACCGCCACACATTACTTTCCTGAAGAGAGTGACACTGCTTTTGTTACCTCCCTCATTGTGGCCACTTTTAGCAACATGGACTGAGAGGAGCAAGTGAAATGAGTAGCTGATGTCTAAGAGATATTCTGAGAAGTATAGAGGTCCTAAACCACTAAGGGCTTTCTAGGTCTTAACCAGCACCTTGAATTGAGTATGAATGAACCGCCACACATTACTTTCCTGAAGAGAGACACATTGAACCACAAGACACCTCCAACCTTATCTCAAAGTGCTCGGTCTTGCTCTCTGTGCTTTAGTGACATCCATAGAAAATGTTCCACCCTCAAAATATGTGTGCAGGGAGAAGGTGAGAGACATGTTGTTATGGCACATGAGACAATTGTTGTTGTTGTCATCTTATTATTACCCTCCCATGCCACGGGGGAAGAGGTAATTACTAATGAAACCATAAATTATTGTCTTATGTCTGATTGAAGATATGATTGCACACGTTAGGAATCTATAACCTGCCCCCCACCAAAGTGTTTTATGCCCTCCTGACCAGTTCACTGGAATCCTTGTGGGCCCTACACATCCTAACCCCATTGGTCCTAAGCTACTTGTTGTGCATAAACATTTACAATCACACACTGTCCATGAACCACTTCTCTTCCACCAGTGCTGACTTCCCTTCTGAGAGGACATCCTAGCAGCCACTTAGAACCTCTCACCTGGTACCTTACTATGCAGCTTGAGCATGCTGAGCATCAGCTACAGGTCTCTGAAGTCTCCATTGTCAGCGGGAGTTCAGGCTATGAGCTCTATGTCAGTCCCATTTTCCTCGCACCACTCTTGCTATGCCCCTTTTCTCTATCAGCTTACTCTAGTTGCAACTTACTCCTGGATTTCAGGTGATGTGTGCTTGAATGTCTCTTGCCTCACCAACATGTACACATGTGCTGTTTGCCCTCAGACTACATGCAGCCCTACTAAATGACTAGACACTCTCCCAAAATATTCATATTAGTATATTCTATGGGTATATAAGTGCATTCATATAGATCAATGGTTCTTAACCTGGACAATATTGCCCCCCAGGGGATAATTTCATTTTTCAGGGGGGCGATTGAACAAAAAGGGGCGACACGGGGGCGAAGGAACAGAAGGCTGCCGCTGCTGCTGCCGCCATTGAGGAAGTTATTATCGCCCCCCTCCCCTGTGCCACCAGATCCAGAGCAGCTGGTGCTGGCCGCGGATGTGGTCACCCTGCTGCAGCCGCTGCCATTGAGGAACTTATCATTGCTCCCTCCCTGCTTTGCCGCCACCGTGCTGCCAGATCCAGAGAAGCTGGTGCTGGCAGTGGATGTGGTGCTGCCACCATTGAGGAAGTTATCATCACCCCCTCCCTGCTGCGCTGCCACTGCACCACTGAATCCAGAGCAGCTGGTGCTAGCAGCGGATGTGGTGCTGCCTCCGCCATTGGGGAAGTTATCATCGCCGCCTCCCCACGCCGCTACCACACCACCATAGGGTGTGGGGCAATGATGTAGTGGTGCCTCGCTAGACTATGATAATCCATTCCACTGAAATCGCTGTTTAGCAAAATCATTGTCTAGCGAAAAGCATTTCCCCATTGGAATGCATTGAAACATGTTTAATGCGTTCCAATGGGGAAGAATCGGCGTTGTCTAGCGAAGATCAGCCATAGGAAAGCCGCGTTGCGAACCACCGATCAGCTGTTTAAATCACTGTCTTGTGAAGCTTAGGTCCCGAAAACACCTGTTTTGCGAGCGGGGAGGAAGCTGTCAAAATCGTTGTCTAGCGAAAATCGGTTTGCGAAGCAGGGACCAAACATTGTCCAGCGAAATTCCCCCATAGGAATCACTATTTTGTGAATCACTATAGCGATCGCAAAAAGTCAATGTCTAGCGAAAAAACTGTCATGCGGGGTAACTGTCTAGCGAGGCACCACTATAACTTCCTCAATGTCTCAAGGGGACGTTTCTTTCCAAAAGGTTAAGAACCAGTGATATAGATCAGGGTGATGAAGTGACAAAAGTGTTATTAATTCCCAGTGATACTTTTATTTCACAAGAATCTGGAACAAACATATCTCACAATCTACTTCTCAGGCAGTGCTCCCTAACAGCTCTTTTTATCCCCATCCCTTTTACTGGGAGGATGAGTCAGGAAAACTTTGGTGTTGCTGTTGTTGTTATTGTTATGTGCCATCAAGTTGCCTCTGATTTATGGCAAGCCCCAAATGAATAACATCCAGAATTTCCTATCAGTCCTGCTCAGCTCTTGCAAACGTTAAGTCCATGGCTTCCCTCCTTGGCTATGCTGCTCATTGAATGACTTTGACTTAGACCTTCTTTCTCTGGTTGACAAATCTCATGGAGTTGCACACGCTGATCAGCTGACCCGATGTGCACACTGATCAGCTGATAGGCCTACACATGCGTAGAAACAGCTGGCCCAGCTCGTCGAAGGAAAGCTGGGCCACTGTCACTGAAAATAGCAGTATACACATGCGTAGAAACAGCTGGGCCACTGTCACTGAAAATAGCAGTGGCAGAGAAGAGGAGGTGGTGGAAGGACCAAATAGAGAGGTGATTGGGGCAGGGGGTGGGGCCAATAGCTCAGAACATATTGTTATACAGTATTCCTAAAAGGGAAGTGCAAAGGTAAATGGGGAAGAGGAAAGTAAGGTATCTTGGCCAGGCAGGATGAAGTAATACGAGTTCCTGATTTCTGCCTTGATGCAAGCATCTTTCACAAATGTGACAGTTGACAGTTTTCTTTGTTTTCCTAACTTTGGTATTTAAGTGAAATCCAGGCACTGTTTGCCCCATCTCCATCTCGCCACACCAAAGGCTTCTTGCAAGGCTCGCTTCCGACAGAGACGAAAGACCATTTTAGACAGCACCATGAAGACATTTGGCAGCTTGCTCCTTGTGAGCATCATGATCCTTTTGGGTGAGATGCCATGCCGTACACTGGAACAAGATATAGGTGAGTACAACATTTGTCTGCTTCCATTTCAGTTTTCCTTAGCGGAATATAAGAGCAATTACCAGTTAAAGTCCAAATTCTGTACCCTTAAGAGGTGTAACAAAGAACAAATAAATGTAACCTTTTTAGCTTTGGGGAGGATAGATGGCTTCTAATGATGAGTGATTTAAAAACACAAATAGCTTAATAGAGGAAATTAAAGATCCACAAAGAAATTGTGGAGTTTGTTGTCAAATGCAGGTACCTTGGAATTTGGGTGAATGAACAGAGGGATTATAGCTATGCAATAAAGGCCAACCTTTAGACCTTAAGAAGGTACTGTAACATGCAAGAAAAATCTCAAATGTCAAAAGCATAAATTGTCTGTTGCTGTGTTCTCTCATTTCTATTGTACGGCTATGGAATCATGGACTTTAACACAGGCAACTATAAAACAAGGTAAGAGCATTTGAAATAGAGATTTATTCCATAAAGGTGGCCAACAAAGATGTACTTAGGGAAATAGATAAAGACTGAGAAACCATATTAATTAATAAAATGCAGAGAGCAAGAATGTGTTAGTTACATCATGAGAAGTATAGATTTTTACCTTGTATCGCTGCAAATATACTACATGTGAAAAGAAGTACAGGATAGAAAGGAGTTTATTGCCGTCACACTTTGGCAGATGGGTCTGGATGCAACACAAGCTAATTGTTTGGAGCTGCCACATCCAAAATCAGAATAGCCACACTAATGGGATGATGGCCTTGAAAGCAGGATAAACATGGTTGTTTCCTAATGCCACACTGAATTATCATTATTATTATTATATGATTGTAACTGCATACTTCTTACATGGAACACTTCATAAATCTGTGTCTTCTTTTTCCTGCAGACAGGCCTGATATCTGCCCAGCAAAACGATGCATATGTCTTCGTTATCAGCCTCCTGAATGCAAAAATGATTCATCTTGCACAGGAGGGCAGATTTGTTGTTTTTATTGCTGTAAAAGGCGCTGTGTGGACCCAAGAAAAGGTACTTCACATGGAGACTTACAGCCTATCCAAATGGGTATATAGATCAACATTGGGATCGCTGTGGGTATGGTTTGGCCCAAACCAAATTATAGAGTCCATGCATTTTTCTACTTAGAGGCACTCATCTTGCTCATTTAGGAACTGTCCCACTTTTCTCCTGCACAGCGATGGGGCTTCTAAGTTTGTTTGTTGTATGATTCAATGGACTTCTGTTCATCTCACTTTATAACCTGTGTGGACGGCTAGATGGAGCTGTGGGTGGCATTAGCTGAGGTGAGAACCTGTGACATTTTAGGTGGCTTGTGGCATTAAAATAGAGGATGGAGAAACCCCCTCCTCCATTTTTGTCTTCTTTTTTTCTTAATATTTCCCTAACTGATGCAGGACTATTCTAATATCAATCTAGGTTGATGCATTGCTCTTTCAATATGCCACTTTCTTTATTTAACAACACCAAAGGAAAGTCACCGTGGCCCACACAAGGCAGCGCAGATCCAGCAGAGTGCAGCTGAAAAAGACAGGAAACTGGGGGTGACCTCCCCTTTCATCTCCCCAACCTTCACCCCAATATTTTCCTCTCACACTGCTGCCATCCTCCACTGCCGTTGCTGGTGCCTCCTTTCTCATGAGTAATACAGGGAAACCTACACATGAGCAAACCAGGTAAACCACACAGGAGAATAAATATATTGAGTGTAAATGGAAGGATCGCTCAAATGAGAGATAAAATCGGTCACACAGAAGATAAGAACCTTTTGAGTGCGAAACACACAGCTCCGAATTCCCATCTGGATGGTCTCTAAATTATATGTGGGGTGTGATAAATAAAAACCCAATATTCTGCCCCAGTTACATTATTTGGTTGGCTTGCTAGTTGGCTGGTTGGCTCATAGAACTATCAGTGGAAGAAATTATAGACTATGTAGAAAAAAACTGGTAGTTAATGCAAAACAGATGAAAATAATCATTTGAACAACCTAGAATAAATACATAGAATTCACTGTCAGTGTTCCAAAGCCTGCCTTTACTCACAAAAAAAATACATTGCACTCTATTTGAAAATGTATAATTTTAAAGAAATGCATCTAAAAGCAAAAGCAAAGTATGCTGCTTATATACTGCCCCATAGCACCTAAAGCACTCTTTGGGTGCTTTACAATTTAATTATACAGGCTATACACTGCCTCCCCCAATTCCACCCCCCACCCAGTCAGCTGGGTACTCATTTTACCAACCTCAGAAGCTTGGAAGGATGAGTCAACCTTGAGGTGGTTGTCAGAATCCGCTGGGACTGAACGCTAACTGTGAGCAGAGCTTTGACTGTAATACTACAGTTTAACCACTGCACAACGAGGCTCTTTTAGAAATGTAAGGATTTGTTGTCGTTGTTGTTGTTTGTCTTTTTAAGAAAAAATCATACCTACAAAATAGGTATATAAGTAAAAATTGAAATAATATTGAAGTGCAAACTGTGAAGGCATTACAAAAACTAGAGATTCAGATGGCGCAGAATTAGAACTCATTCATGTCAGAGATGTGCTAATAAAGAACACGACACTGTATCCTGGTATCTGTACTTTTCACAATTGGATACCCCACCCCCACCTTCATGGGGCCACAGCAAAATTTCTAAGGAGGCTCAACAGGAATGTTCAAGAAAGAGTTGCTGAGTTCAGGGTAAAAGTGACTTAATCCCACCAGTCTAGACCCCCAAAAGTCTCTCTACACCTCGAAATACACTTGCTATCATTCAAAGGAGAAATGGAGCAGCTGAGGTATGTTCCTTGGAAATGAGAAGAGTGCCCCCCATAGAAACAATCAGAAAAGTTGTCTCTCCCCCTTCTCCCCCACTTCCATGTTATAACCATGGTGGTATATTGACCTCTATAGGCCTGTTTATATGCCGTGTTGTCATTCTTTATTACAGAAAAACCTGGAAGATGCCCTCGTTTTCCTGAAAAAAGATGTTTCCCAATCGAGCCGGATCAGTGCGAAGTGGATGATCAGTGTCCCCTTGCTGAGAAATGTTGTCCCGGATCCTGCTTTCGCCTTTGTGTAAATCCGATAAAAGGTAACTGAATCTGAAGCTGCAAAACTTTAAGTAGGAAGAAATATTAAATGCTAGATGCAAACTCTGCAGATTGTTGAAAAAAAGGCTTTGGGGGGTTTTGTGTGGTTTTTTTTTAAAAAATGTAACATTGTATTTTAAGTATTTTAACAGTACAGTAATCCTATTGGTATTCACTACAGTTTGTGTAATTTGCTGCATCTCTTTGTGAGTAGAGGAGGTGCCAAGGTGCATCTTGGTTGCATCATGAGGTGCATGCTTGGACACATAATGGAGAGGTGCACTAGCTAGTGGTCTGCCATTTATGCCAATCTCAGGCACACAAAGAGGATTCTACCTTCTATTTCCTTTCAGTAACACTTTCGTCTAACATAGGCAGCAGAAGACCTGTGATTTGCCACCAGCTTTCAGCAGCAAGCCATTCTACTGGTGCTCAAATTTTGCATAATTTCTAATGAAAGCATTAGGGCCAAAAATAACACCTTAGTATAGCCCATATAGCCCCCAGGCGTGCACATTGCCCACACACTGCACATTGTCTCCCTGAATTCTAGAATTGCAGGAGAAGAGTCGTTTAAAGTGTTTAGTTGATGACTGAGTTTTTTCTTTTCCTTTCTTTAAGATATTCAAAATTCCTGACAAGCAAGTCCTTGAACTAATGGTGCTCTGGAAAAGAAATCACCAACTCTCTGACAACTTTGCAAGACATTCTGGCATAATACTAACACTGGTGCAGCCAAATATTCTCTCCTCTTCCCTTGCCCACCCTAGTTTCCTTCAAATCTGAGCTAAAAGTACAGTGAAAAATAGCTCATTGTCTCCTCTGCTAGCTTGGGGGTGGGGAATAAGGGATAATTATAAATAAACTTTGTTTATGCCGCAGCATTTCAGTTGTAGTTAGTGTCCTTTTTTAAAAAAAGATACCATTATTATGATAGCAGAGATACCAGAGCAACTGAACATCGATATGGCCAGAAGATACAGCTGTTGAACTGTTCTAATACATAGTTCCAACATGCTGACCAGGTTCTCAAGGTCTTCAGAATCTTTTTTTCCTTGTTTGTTTGCAATAGAAATTTGCCAGTGGGAAAAATCCATTCCACGACCCTCCCCCATGAAATACATTAAACACATGCTTAAGCAAGAGCCCTAGACTGAAGTTGCAGTTTCTGACAATGAATCTGCATCCACACTCTTAGGAGGGATGGAGATATAGAAAACAGAGAGAACAACCAGCTGGACTGCCTGTGGTTAGGAAATATAGGATTTTCTCCTATAGCCAGATCTCAGTTATTATACTGAAGTGGCCACCTCAAGTGGAGGATGCTAGGGTGGTAAGGTAACAAGTTGTTTGTTTGTTTGTTTGTTTATTCATTCATTCAATCAATCAATCATTTATCTGATATACATACCATCCCATTAGTGCAAGGACTACTCTGTGCGGCTTACAGGTGAAAACTAAGCCCCACAAGACCCCACAGAACAAATACATTCAGTAAAATGGTGATTTAACAGCCTCGGTCTAAAATACATCCAAAAAAGAAAATGATAATAAAATTAACATTTACAGCATTCTGGAGGCTACTGATATGTGGCCCATCCCAAATTCCAAAAAGAAAATCCGAGCTTTCCTTGGACTAGCCGGATATTATAGGTGATTTGTGCCCAACGTCAGCAAAATAGCTGCACCTTTATCGAATTGACCTGAAAGAAGCAAGCGGAGAACATCTCATGGACTCCAGAATGCCAGGAAGCCTTCGATTGTCTGAAGACAGCGCCAACCTCAAGGCCTGTTGTTGTTGTGCGGGACTTTGACAGAGAATTCACCATTTACACCAATGCGTCATACGTTGGGCTTGTAGCTGTGCTGTGCCAGTCAGATGACAGCAGGACTTCACATCCAGTAATGTATGTGAGCAAAAAGCTCCAACCTAGTGAAAGACATGTATCTACCATTGAGAAAGAATGTTTAACCACTGTCAGGACACTACAGAAACTAAAGCCCCACATGTGGGGAAGAAAGTTTGTTCTCTGCACCGATCATTCACCTTTAAAATGGATAAGGACTATGCAATCGAATAATAGTAAATTGACCAGATGGGCCCTGATTCTACAGGACTTTGATTTCAAGATCAGAAAAGGGTCTCTGAATGTGGTTGCAGACTCTCTGTCCTGAAAGCCTAGTGATTAGAACAATTCTATGTTGAGTGCAAATGCTTATAACTGTGTTGTCATAAATGTTTAAAGTGATAAGTTAGACTTAAGAAACATAATGTTAGAGAGGAAAATTTAATATAAAGCATTTATAAGTATTTGAAAAATATTGCTAAACTTACATGTGTTTAGCTGTTTGTTTATGAGGGCAAATTGGTAAGTTTCCCCTCATAAAGCAAGCTTATTAAGGAGGGAGGAATGTAGTGATCACCCTGCCTATGTATGGGTGTATAGGCATGCACTAATAAGAGTTGTTGGGAGGTGGAGCCAGTGAAACATAAAGGGAGGGGTGAAGCAGATGGGAAAGGCAGATAGTGGGGAGTTGAAATGCAGTTAAGAGTGTGGAACTTAGAGAGAGTTAAGTGTGAAGTAAGTTATTACGAAACTACTGAAAGCTTTAACGTCTTTTAGGAATCTACTCAAATGAAACTCAAGATTTGAACTGTATTCAGTAAACTAGGTTTTGTTAAAAGTTACATGCAGTATGGACTTCAGTCTTTCCAAGTAAATAATCTTGATAGAGATCAACTGGTGGCAGCGTAAATAGGAATGTGGACTTAGATTAGTGAAATAATCAAGGGCCACATCACAAACAGTAGCTAGTTTGTTTGCTTTTTAAAGGAGTCATAGGCTCTCAACCACCTTAATACTCCCCAAGACAATTCTTTTCAAAACTGGAAGTGGACCTCCAGCTGCTTCTGGAATTGGGTTTGGTTTTTCTGTTCTTGGCAAACAAAACAGGATCTCACAGGAACAGAACTGCCACAGTTGCCCTCAGTGTGTTTTTCAGATCCACTCCAGTTATCCACAGTTAGCAAAAAGGCACAGATTACACCACAGAATATCCACATTATATTTTACCCAGGGACTGCCTTTAGGAGGCCATTAGGGACATTCTCCCCCTTTGACATAATTGTGGATCCATGAATTGGGTATTGATTTTGATTCACTGTTGCCTCTGGGTTTAGTTTAATCTTTTGTTGCTGTTGTTTTGGTTGGGTTTAAGTATTTATGTGTTTGTGGGTGGTGGGTAGTTGATTTCTGTTGTTGTTAGCTGCCCAGAAAAGTACCTGCTCACTAGATTGAATGAATGAATGAATGAATGAATGAATGAATGAATGAATGAATCTGTACAAGTTAAATAAAATGTCTCTCAGACTGGGATAAAGTCTTACCCCACTTTCTCCCATTTCTAACCTGTTCTTTGTGAAAGATTACTGGGCTAAACTGGGATTCATATCCAAATGTCCTTTCAAAATATGAAACTGCTTCTGCTCAGGAAAGCTTTGAAATTCTTGTTTCAAATACTGTACGAATGAAAGCCATTTCTCTGCTGGAATATATCTTTGGCTTTTTAAAGGGGAGGCAGGTGGGGGGGAGTTAATAGAAGACTTAATTGAAATTCCCAGCCAGGAAAGCACCATAGCACAAAAATTACCCTTGTAAAATAAACTGAGATTTTTTTAAAAAAAGTACTGTAACAAATTAGACTTGTGCTAACTTTCCATATCAAAATTGGTTGAACTCTGTCACCACAATCTCAATCACCACCAGATTATACTATGTACTGTAGTTACAAGTACAGATTCTGCTAGTTACAAGTAAACCCAGGAGCCATTCTAACTCTACATACAGTATCTTAGTTGTTTGGGAAACAGCAGCAGTGAGACAGCACTGAAATCTAATGGGGGGGGAGAAGGTGGCTAAATGAGGAAGAAGAAAATGAAATACATGGAAAATCTTGGCTGACGTATAGAATGCTAAGCAGCAGACACTGAGTTGGCCACATGAGAAGGGAAGGTCTGAGTGTTCCTCTGTAAGTGGGTTGTATCCACAGAGGTTAAGACTGAGCACTCTTGAAATGTTTCATTATTGCATCAGCTCAGCTGTCATGTTGCAACTGAAATAATGGCAAAAAGTCAAGAAAAATTCTCCTCCTCCCCTCCTTGGACTTCTGAGAATATATATAAGGATATAAACAAAGCTACCGTACGCCCAGAAAGACCTGTAAAAGAACTAGCCTCTTCAAGGAGTATGAAGGCACACAGTTTCTTGTTCTTTTGTGGAGTTCTGATGCTGTGTGATAATCTGACATCAGCAGCAGTGATCAATAAATTGGGTGAGTACTGAGTGTAAACTGCACCTTTCCCAGTTACAATTACAGTAAATGTAAGTAGAAAATGCATTTGGTGCTGCCCCTTGCAGAAAGTAACATAAAAAGCATATTAAAAGCCATTCAGAATATTTCCTCTGAGAACAGGACAACTTAACAACAAACTTTTATGCATGCTTACTCAGAAGTAAGACACACCGTGCTCAATGTGTCTTATTTCTAGGTAAATAAGAAGAGGATTGCAACCTAAAGATAGTTCTTGAGTTCCTGAAGAATTAATAAATGGGGTGATAAGGACAGAGACACTTGGAGTGATGTTTTGTAACTCCTGTAAGGAACTGATCTTCACTTGAAATACAACTGAAAGGTGAATTTTGATTAGGGATGGTGTCATTTTCATGAGGCTACTTGTTCCTGTATAAAGATAGTATGGGAACTGTGTTTGCTCTGTGTGGGAGTGGGAGAGGTAAAGTTTTAAGAATTGTTCGGAAGTGACTTTCTTTTCCTGAAATGGTGAAGCCCCTGATTGATTGATTGATTGATTGATTGATTGAGTTTAAAAGCCTTAACACCCATTGTCATGTGACTCTTTCCACAGCCTCCCAGTTTTCTTCTGGCCCTTTGGTTTCTTCCTCTAATGGGTCTCCATGCGTATGTCTTTCACTGCCCATCTTCACTATGAGAAGATGAAATGGGCAGTGGAAGAATGGCTGGAAAGAACATGTGAGACCGCAGTGAGAAAGGCAGGAAGTCTTGACTGCCATTACTGCTCATCAGTGGCCAGTGCAATTCCCCCCCAAATTTAAAAAGAGGTGCGCCATGCATTCTCCTTGCATATGCAAACCTAGCAGAAGCCCTCTGCAATTGATTACAAAGGAAAGTTTGCAGGGGGGGAGTTCATTAGCAATTGTAAAAACCAAGCCTAATTAACTAATTACCTTATTTCATCTATGAATTTCTATGGCCCAGGTCTCCCAAATCATAGTTCAACATTCTGTCCCCTATACCAGTGGTTCTTAACCTTTGTTACTCGGATGCTTTTGAACTGCAACTCCCAGAAACCCCAGTCAGGACAGCTGGTGGGGAAGGCTTCTGGGAGTTGCAGTCCAAAACTCCTGAGTAACCCAAGGTTAAGAACCAGTGCCCTATACCACATTGGCTTTTGGGTCTCTAACTGAAAAGATAACATTTCCGAGAAAGAGAGAGTGAGAGAGAGTGTGTGTATATAAAACGTTAAAAGGTGTAAGGATATTAATGGAACAATAATTATAAACAACACATTAGGCAACACACTTCTGCTTTTATGTACTGTGGACATTTTCTCTTTCAGTTCAGCCCGAAAGATGTCTTCCTAGTCCAATCGTATGTACCCGGTACGAACCAGATAACTGTCAGGACGACTCTGACTGCCCGTTAAACCAGAAGTGCTGTTTTGTTCCTTGCGCTTGGAGTTGTGTGGATGCTGTGTAATGGTAACTTGAACATGAAATGGATCAACTTCTTATGGAAAGAAAACCTATTTTTTACATCAGGAGTGGACAAACATGTTGTGGAGGAGGGCTTCACCATTGGGTGAGAAATCCTTCAGAGGTTCCATGACAGAGCTAGGGCACTGGGGAGCGGGGATAGGACATGGAGGGCTACTTATGCATGCTTCACCACCTCCTTTACACACAGAGACCCTTCACATGTGCACATAGCTGTATGCATGCTGTACAATGCTCATGAGGACGAATTTTGTATCAGACTCAGCAGATACAGAAGAGGGCTGTTCTCCTTCACCTTTAAAGGATGTTTTAAGGAGTGAATTTCAGCAGATGCTACTACTAATCGTGCCACAGCCTATCCAACTGCTGAAATTTTATTTCATACATCAGGATTAAAAGGGAAGGAGCCATATTTTCCTCTTGATCCCTCCATCCAGGCCTTAGAATTGGGAGCCAAAAATGGCCGTTGGCCGATGCTAGTCAGAGGATACAGAAGAGAAGTTCCCAGTCATTTCATAAGCACAAAAAGCAAGGAGACATTCACAAAAGAATTTAAAATATTTCACTTGTACTAGTCCATTCCATACTATTTTCCAGTTCAAACTTGAATATTGATGAAGTCAAAGGGGGGAAACATCCAGCATATGAATGAAGGCTAGAATTTGTAAGAGATTTGGGGATGGGAAGCAATTCATTGGCAATAAATCTTTTCTATTTCTTTTTCTGCAGGGTAAATTCATTTCCTGATGGGCTCCTGAGTTAACCATGGCTTGACAAACCAATAACTGACTCCTACTGGCTTGATGGGAGATTCAGACATATTTCTAAATAAATCTTCTTTATGTAGAAACACTGCAAGTTTGTGTTACTGAGGCATGTTGGTTGTTTGCTGTCTTTTAAAACTGGGCAGAGATATGATCAGGATCAGCTGCACCGGAGCAGATAAATAAAAAAATATACATTTTAAAGCAACTGTTTCTGTCGCATCTAAAATTTCTGAATAAAGATTATTTTTCAGACCTCTTTTAAGAAAGATGACCATGTTTAGAGAAAAAGGAGGAGAGATACTGGCCAACATTCCTTACAAACATTATTCCAGGACAGATCAACTCTTCGTTCTCCTCTAATCTTGCAGGAGTAAAGGAAGAAGAATTATTCCACTTGCAGAATTCTTACAAGTTCCAGAATTCAGAAACCATGCCACGTCTGTTTGTGTGTGTGCATACATGCATGCACGTGTGCACACAGCGCTTGGAAATAATTAGTCACAAGAAATATTACCTTTAATTCATTATTACTAGGGATAATGAGTAATGGAATGTGTACTTGCAATGCCAGAGCAAAAGTAATGTGACAAGCATTACATTCCTTTTTAGATATGATGTAATCTTGTTACTTTCCAAAAATTACTTTAAAAGAAAAATTCAAGCTGTTTTAAAGGCATTGGGCAGGAATTTTTCAGGTTCTCTTCCATCCTTTGATTAATTTTTAGTGACAAGAGAAGAGATGCTTGATTTTGCTTTGCAGATATTTATATGAATTGGCCATTCCCCTGGAATGGTAAGAAGCTGGTAAGAAGGACACAATGCATTAATGTATTATGCAGTGAACTGCTTGCACAATTGGAGTAATCATGATAACAGCAACCCAAAAGCTGAGAACCAGGCGAATACCACGAGTTCCTTTTGCAAAAATAACATTCTGAGCTCTGTCTCTCTGTGTGTGAGGAGAGAGGAAGGAAAAGGAGAAAGAAAAGTTGGCAGTTATACTGAGAGTTCAGTGCATGTGACCGCTCAGAAAATACCTGAGTAGAGAAACCCTTGCTTGTGGGCTGTGAACCATAGATACCTATCTGGAAATGAGAAGGAATAAAGAAAAGAAAGAATCCATTCTAAGAGGGTCCTAAGTCTTTGTATTATCGTGATTTCTTATACTTTTGGGGAAAGTCTCATTTTTCCATTCAATAGGAGTAGAGCCACTATCTTGGAAGAGTTCATTAGTCTAGCATTGCACGCCTCATGTAAGGGGACCACCAGCATGATTCATGGAAGTGATCAAACTGGCTGACATGGAAACTAATGTCTCATTTTGAAAAAGACCTGCCTTGCCATTTGGTGCTCATACATCTTCTTCAATAATTCCTGCAGGAGCTCTGGAAATCAAACTTTTGCTGTTTTGCCGTTTCCAATGATTTGGCGGCTTCTCATTCTTCTTCTTCAACAGCTTATACAAAAAAAAAAAAAGATTTGGGATACTAGGAGAATTCTAATAGCAATGAAAACCATTCCAGAATCGCTAGAATTTCAGGTAGCAGGAATGTATCCCTGTTTATACACAGCATGATCCTTAACTAGCTAGGTTTCCGTTATATTTTTTTTAAAAAAAATCTGCATGGAAAGCTGGAGTGCTTGGAAAAGGTTTATTCATTCAAGAACACTCTTCACCTCCATCTCATACTGGAACAGGTGGTGGGTAATGCCCACCAAGCTCAACAGGCACAGGGGAGTCATCAGTGCCTCTTTTGATCCACTTTTGTTTTGCAAAAAAGAGGTGAATGGACGCTTTTCAAAGTTCCTTGCTAGAGAGGTTCCATTTCTTAGATAAGTGATCCAGTGGTGGGAGGAAGTAGGGAGCCAAGGGAATACCGGTGTCAAGCCAGCCATCACGTTTGTTCTTTAACACCTCAGTGTTCAACGGGCCTTAGTGAAACAACATATGACCTGTTGAAGTAATAATATGCCACAGAAAAGGTAGACCAACTATTCTCAGTGGGGGCCCCTAGAGAAGAGCTTTGTGGATACCCTGGGCTGCCAGAAAGGTGAACAAGTGAGTCCTAGATCAAATGAATCCGGAACAATCTCTGGAGGCAAAAAAATGTTGAAAGCCAATCTGTCCTACTTTGGGCACATTATGAGAAGGCAGGATTTCCCTGGAGAAGGCAATAACCCCCATTGAAGGGGGCCACCGACTGGAAGCAATTCTTCACACACCACCTTGTAAGGTTATGACACCACTTACAGAATCCTGATTCGGCCTATAATTCTTTCATATTGTGTTTATGACAGTGGCCAAAACAAAGGAAGAGAATGGTTGAGTTAGACCACCAAATTCCAGTTCGCCATTTTATCACCCTGGAGAAGAGACATCTTGTGTAGCCTCGAACAAGCTGCCCAGCCCCAGGACTCCACCAGAATGAATGGCAGAAGGAATGGCAAAGTACCTCTGAGCCCCTGGAAACCACGGAAAGGGACACCATATGTTGGAATTGACTTGAATGTGCATCAAGTTGATTCTAACATATTAAATATTATAACGATACAATATACAGTGCCCCCGCATCACCATGCTTACAATGGTGCCTGTGTTTGTGCTACAAGCCAATAGAGGGAGCCAGTGGGTTATTTTCTTTCATTTTTGAGGAGGCAAAAAGACGTGATGGTTGTCTTTAGCTTTAGAAAAACAGTCTTGAGAATATTCTAAAGAGCAAGGTGGGGTGTGGGAATGTGGCTGCACGTGTGTGTTTTAACAGAAGCAGAGACTGGGTATAAAAAGAAGCCGAAAAGCAAAATCTTTTGGAGAGAAACTTTTTGTTTCTAAATTGTTTTTGAACCTGAACCTGCCACTTTACGATGATAAGTAGAGGTGACAGAAGCAGCAACAACACCAATATGGCTCACAGTTCCGATGTTACAACTGGCAAGGAATTGCTAGCTAAAGACGTTATCCAGGAGACAAAGCATCAAGCGTCTCACCCTGGCCAAAGATTTTTTTTTAAAAAATTAAGACTTTTTCTCACTTCTGGAGAATGTCAGCACATAGGTTGCCTCGCTCTCATGGCCTATACAGAGGGCTCTGTAAGTGTCACACCTTTTTTGAAAGTAGCACAAAAAACTAGCCTGACATCAACACAATTTTAAAATCGATGCTGTTCTGCCAAATTGCCACCAGGGGGCAGGATTTTGTTAAAAGTAATCCGAAATCCCCTTTTCAAATACGAAATTTTGGAAGAGCCAGCTTTCTGGGATGCCTGGCACTGAATTTTATAAATCCATTATTCTACCTATGGAGCATTAATTCTATAATGTACAGTGATGCCCCGTATAGCGAGGTTAATCAAATGCCCTTTTCAAACACGAAATTTTGGAAGAGCCAGTGTGTAGTCAAAGCTTTCTGGGATGCCTGGCGGTGAATTTTATAACCCCATTATTCTACCTATGAAGCATTAATTCGATAATGTATATGTGAAGTTGATGTAAAGGTCAAATCCAGTGAAAATCTGATTTTTTCCCCCAATGAGTCTGATTTATCTATATGTCCGATGAGTGTCACATTACACTTCCCCCAGGAGCTGATTGGTGTTGCTGAGTTTTTATTCCCAAACTGACAGCTAACACTGTTCAGTTTTTCTTTTTCCTTTCCTGAGACCTGCTCATGTTCCAAAGTCATGCAGGTCTCAACTGCGCAGCCCAACCAGACCCTGTGATTCTTGTCTTCTGTTACATTCCATCGAGTCGCCTCTGACTTATGGTGACTCTATGAACGAGAGATCTCCAAAGTGTTCTGTTCTCAAACAGCCCTCCTCATTTTGTAAACTCAAGTCTGTGGGTTCCTTTAGGAAGTCAATACATCTCGCATTTGTTCTTCCTCTTTTCCTGCTGCTTTCTACCTTTCCCAGCATTATTGTCTTTTCCAGAAAGCCATGCCTTCTCAAAAGGTGCCCAAAGTAGGACAGATTGAGTTTCAGCATTATTGCCTCCAGAGGTAGTTCAGGCTTCATTTAATCTAGGACTCACTTGTTCACCTTTCTGGCAGCCCAGGGTATCTGCAAAGCTCTCCTCGAGCAACACATTTCAAACAAATCAATTTCTTCTCTGTCATTTCTCCTTACTGTCCAGTTTTCACATCTCTGGTGTGATTTGAAATATGATTGAGAAGATCTTAGTTTTGGTCACCAATAACATCCTTACACTTGATCTTTCCTAATTCCTTCATTGTTGCCCTTCTGAGTCTCAGTCTTTTTCTGATTTCCTGATTGCAGTCTCCATTTCAAGTGATAATTGAACCAAGGTATACAAAAGCTTTCACTGCTTCAATTTCTCCAATGTCAACATTATCCATTTCAGAATCCAGATTGAACATCAGGCATTTTTCACTTCAAATAAGATAAAATACCTTTGTTGCAACACATTGAGCATCCCTTTGCTTGCATGGGAAATTAAAGCAATGGTATAGCATCTCCTTTCTTGGGCACTGGAATGTATATTGAGCATTTCTAGTCTGTGGGCCATTGTTTTCTCTTCAATACTTATTGGCATATTGTTAGGATTTTGGCAGATTCTGTCCCTATGGCTTGAAATATTTCTATAGGTATTTTATCTGCCCCTGGAGGTTTATTATTTTCCTATTGCTTTCAAGGCAGCTTTCACTTCACTTTCTAAAACTACAGGTTCTTCATCACAGGATTTCTTTTCAAAGACGTCTATCACCCTTTAATCTCTTCTGTATAGGTCTTCAGGAGGGCCTGGCATACTGTGGTCCATGGGGTCACAAAGAGTTGGACACGACTTAACAATTAAACAACAACATAAGTCTTTAATATTCTCCTTCCACCTTCTCTTTATTTTCTCCAGGTAAGACAGTGTGTTTCCTTGTTAGTCATTTAGTATTCCTAATCTAAGCTTACTATTCCCTTTGATTTCTTGGATCGTCTGAAAGAAATATCTTGTTTTCCCACACTTTGTTGTTCTCATTTCTTGTTTTGCACTGGTTATTGTAATGATTTTTGATGTTTAGTCGTTAAGTCGTGTCTGACTGTTCATGACCCATTGACCAGAGCACACCAGGCCCTCCTGTCTTCG